ACAGAGCCACGAATGGTACCATCCGTTTTACGCTGAGCCAGCACATCCAAAAGAGTGGTTTTTCCGGCACCGGAGGATCCCATCAGGGCGCCCAGCATGCCAGGCTTCACCCACCCATAGACATTGTCCAGGAGCACGCGATCGCCGGTGGGCGTCTTGACGGTGTAGGTCAAGTCCTTCCAGGTGAAAACAGAGGTGTTGCGGACCAGCTGCTGGTCAAGGTCGTTATCTTCGGGACCGCTGTCGACGGGTCTCTTGGTTTTCTCGTTTACCTGGGATTCCTCATCCACCTGGGCCACCTGACGGTGCTTGTCCAAACGCTCCCGGGGAATCAGCAGAGAGCTTCCGCTCTCGGAGGCAGCCTTCCAGCGGGAAGTCGCAACAATGGTCACGGCCGCGAACAGGGCCCACCAGGCCCAGAGAATTCCGAAATTGCGCCACACGTGGGTGTGGCTGTACGACAGGGAGCCCAGGTACTGATCACCGGTAACTTGAGTGGCCCCTTGGATGGCACCACCAACACCGGCGCAAGACTGGTGGCCAGTAGCGGTTTCGTAGCCAGGTCCGAAGGGAATGAGGTTGTTGCCCACGCAGGGAATGACCTTGCCGTGGAACTCGCTGGAGAGTAGGGCGTCAAAACCGTAGGCGAGCGGGTTGATCCAGTAGATCCAGACAAACCAAGGGTGCATCTGGGGTTTCTGGATCATATAACCAGTGTACATGATCAGGGCGGAGATGAGGAAACCTGAAACCTTAGAGGCACCGTCAAAGGTGCTGAAGAGAGCACCCACGGCACGGAACAAGGCTGTCATGACCTATAGGTAAAATGGATTAGCGCCGACTCCTTCTTTATAGGTATGAGGACAGAAACTTACCATAGTAGTAGTGAATACGAGAATCCAGTAGGTGAAAAACGCGCCCGCCGTCATCTCCAACCCAACCATGAAGTAAACAACAAGCGAGAAGATACTGATCTGGAAGAGGAGGACGGGGATATCGGCAGTGATTTGGGCAATACAGAAGGCGGCAGGGTGGAAGAAGGCGAAACTCTTGTGTTTGATCAAGACCGGGCGACCGCTGAACGATTCGGTAACTTCGGACATGGAAAGCAGACTGTTGTAGAGAAGCGAAAAGAAGAGGGCACCGGACTTGACGAACAGACCTCCGGAGTTGTTCGGAGCATTGTAAAACAGGGAACCAGAAATCAAAGCCTGGGCCAAGGTGGAAACTTGCTTGATGATAAAGGTAGCCTTGTCACCCCACAGGATCTGGTACTGCCGAGCAATACAAGCCTTGACCTGGGACAGGAAGTCGACCGTCATCACGCTGCTGTTGGGAAGCCGGCTAGACTTCTCTTCCGAGACGGAGGTTTTGAAGTCCTCGGTACGCTCGCGCGCAAGGTCGGTGTCGGGGTAATCGTATTCGAGCGCCATCTGGTGGTGAACCGGCGACTTTTCATATTCAGCCTTCAGGGCATCGGCGTTCCGGGGAAAGCGGTTCTCATATCCAGGGCGGATCTTGCGCTCCGTCGGGACGGTCACACCGCTGAGGAAATCGGCGACGTTAGAACCCTCGCGGCAGACAAATCCGAGGTCCTCCATAAACGGCCGAGCCTGGTTCATAGGGCCGTAGTAGACCTCCTTGCCCTCATCCAGGACCAACACCTTATCGAAGAGGTCGTAGATGCCGTTACCGGCCTGGTACAGAGTGACGATGGTGGACAGGCCCAGGACGTCCGTCATAGCACGGATGGCCTTGGTCCACTCAAGTGCGGTACTGGCGTCCAAACCACGCGTGGAATTGTCCCAGCAAAACACTGAACCCCGCGTGGCCATACATTCAATGATAGACACACGCTTCCGCTCACCACCGGACACACCTCGGACATATTCGTTACCAACCTTGGTGTCGTTGGTATGGGAAATCCCCATCGATTCGAGCAGGAAATCCTTCGTTTCCTTGCGGTAGGCTTCGGGGGATTCGACGCCGCCAGGCAGCTTGAACGGGACCTTTAGACGGGTGGCGAAGTCCATGGTTTGACCGACAGTCAGTGTAGGGAAGAACAGTTCTTCTTCGGTGTTCATGACGAGCTGGCCCCGGTAGTTACCGGCCTCCTTGGCGGTCAACGAGCCATAGCGGACATCACCCTCCACGGAGCGATACCCAAGGGTTCGGTTGGAGAGCATCTTCAGCAGGGTCGTGCAGCCCGAACCGGGTCGGCCCAGGACCAACAGCATCTCGCCCGGCTTGACGCAGCCATGGCTGTTGTCGAGGATCTTTCGAAGAGGGGGCTTGTTGCGTCCTTCCTTGATGTGCTGAGGGATGTTGAATTGCGAGAAGAAGTTTTCGTTGACGGCGGCCTCGGCGCTGACGACTTCGACGTTGAGGTTCTTCCAGGTGACGCCGAGTTCGCGGCGTTTGAACCCGGACTCGACTTCCCGTTCATGCTGCTGCTTGATCCGGGGCATCAGGCTCCATTCGTTGGCCTTGCTGACATTGGCGACGGGAGGGGTGGGGGAGAGATCGTCATCCAGGACGGTGGCCGTGCTATCGGTATCATCTCGGCCCTCTGAGGCAGGTGCCCGAGGGTAGGGGAGGTGTTCGCCCTTCTCCTCCATGGCTGCTAGCTAGATGTCGCAAAACGGGTGTTTGCGAGCTAGCTTTCTGGAGACAAGAGTGATCTAAGAGGGGAAAAGGAGAGACTCCCATGCTAGCGAGATGGGCGGCGTGGAGGGTATATATAAGCACCAGCGACAAGTTCCGACAACTTCATCCAGGGTGGGTCGGGGGTCCTCCTTGAAAGTCTGAAACTTCACGGTTTTCAGGGCCAGCCCGAGCCCCGACTCCGAGGAAGATCCACCGGCCATTGACAAACCTCTCGTTAGCGTTATCTAGTGTCATGGGCAGTGACGAGTCTCGCCGGCGAAGCACAGCAAGGCACAGAGAACAGCAGCCATCGGGGGGGGGGCAGTGGAGCCCTGGGACCGGTGACAATCATCTCCGACCATACTCGGAATTTACTTGATAAGTGGTAAATCCGTAGAAAAGCACGACAGAATAAGACAGACCATGTTGGCGAGGATCCCCTGGCGCCTCCCGTGTCAGATTTTTTGCTCTCAATGAGCATGGTGATTGGACGTGTTGGAGGCCCTCGTGGGGATGGACGATCTGGAAAAGAAAAAGAAGTGGAGAGTCGGTCGTTCGGCCACTGAATTTCCGACCGACGGCCAGCAGCACTTCCGCTGACTCATCGGCCGAGTCGGTCCCGTGACCAATTACGGTGGCCGGAGGCTGACCGAGTTCCGATGAGTCAGCGGCACCTGATCGCGTCCAGGTTCCGACAGCCTTTCGCAATCTAAGAATATACGAGCCTTCGTGGCAACCTGACCTCGATCTGACAGATCTGATAACTGCCGGACTCGGATTTTAGGACCCTTGCCTCCGCCAAACTTCCGTCCGTCTCGAAAATCATGAACAGTCCCCTGTGTAGGTGTCACCTTACAAATCAGCGACTTTGGCGACATTATCAATCCAATCTGGCCAGGCCGGAACGACATCTGAAGTTCCGAACTAACTACACTCTCGACATGACATAAGTGGATGCTAACCTCGTGTCGGCCGTATTTGTGATACCAACAACCCTAGGCCCCCAACTCATCAACTGTGTAACGTGAGTCACCACTGTTGTTGATAGTTCAGATCCATCTAGGTTAGATGGCCTAGAAGATCGAGGCACAATCAATCCCAGTCATACTCCAACTCGGGACACAAATATACGAGCACCTAGCTCAGTCGGCCTACCTTAGCTAGCGGCATCGACTATGTACCTAGTACCTACCCTTCCAGAAGCCTTTAAGTTGAGTAGTCTCGACCGTCGACTCACCCCGTCCCAAACACGGAGCCCGCGGAACCCCAGAGTGCCACAATCAAACCGACGGCTCTAGCTCGAGCTTCCAGAACACCGATAATCCCGATTCCGACCGAGCGCCACCGTCTCCCTTTCCGGGTTAGGCTTGCGAGTTGGCGTCAGATCACGTAATCGGTCCTGCCGTGGAGTTTGCGGCTATATTTCTGGGTTTGAAGCAACAATCATCTGTTCTGACAGTTGACAGGCCGACAATCTGCTCACGAAATTCCCCGATCGGATGGATCTACAGTATCTGATTCCGGGGTCCGTGGTCATGGTCTCGTCAGTTCGACTAGGATTGAGAGTCGAGAGCGCTCGCTCTGGTTGTAGGACCAACATGCACGAATTCGGTTATTTTTGATGGTCATTCGAGGAAGGGGGTTTTCCAGGCATTACATGCATGAGACGACCTTGAGGGGTAAGCAAACGGCGAAATGCTTAGCAGAATAATCACTTCGTACTATGTCAGAGCAAGATGACAAGAGGCCAAGGCACGCATGTATGATATTTGTCTCAGATCTAAGGCGTCCCATCTACATATTATTTGTATGGTGTTGCTTCAGCTCCAACACTCTCTATAATTAAACCAGGGAGTAAAAATGCCATATGGAATATTCTTGAAATGCACTCATTGTGTAATTTCATCATATCACAAAATCTAGATATGGCGGGTCATTCAATGATCCCACCCAAGGGGTATATATATACAAAATCATTCTAGTTGAACGAAAACAAAGACTCCCCTTTCTAGCCACTATCAGGTCCCGCTTGACAACTTGGCCGGGGTAAGGATGGGTTGTGACGCCAGGGTTAATGAGGACTTGGGGTCCCTGGTGTCACGGTTGCAGGTTGCAGGTTTCAGGTAGGGGTGAGATGGCCTCTCATCATGACGATAGAGATGTTTCACCAACACCACCCAAACCTAATCAGAGGAAGAAAAAGAAAAGAACGAAAACCCCAAGACGGGGCCACAGAGAGATGGACATATCGAGAACAACCGACGTAAGAAACGAGATCAACGAAAAATAGCGAAGCTAGCCAATCAATAAAATCCCGATCACTGTATTCCGCAAACAGAATCATGATGAATCCCCTAGATCTTGCCGGCGGTGGCTTGTCCTCGAGCCAAGTCTTGGCTGCGGATGGTGGTCAGCGCCCTCTTGCCAGCCCCAATAGACAGAAACATATATATAGATAGATCCGGTAGATTGAAAGGTTGGTAGAGGAAGCAATGAAACACTCACAGATGGCGATCCATCTCATCCAGATGCTGACGCTGCTCCGCCATCTTCCGTTTCAGCAGGCTCAGCTTGTCGGCCTCTTGCGTGCGCGTGTACGAGTACCGATTCCCAGGGGAGGGTTCACGTTGGGGAATCGAGTCCACTCTGCGGTGCATGTGGTTAGCCAGGATGCGTCGTGGAATGTCTCCCCCCCTGCTGGGTGACGTCATTGACACCGGGCGGTGCTGGTGCCGTGCAGGAGAGACTGGGGAGGAGGGGCACGTACTCGGCGAGAAAACCACGCGGCTTGGGAGACCATAGTACTTCGCCGGCCTTACGGGCAGGGATGGCGATGGAGAAGGAGCGAGTGACGGAGTTGTTGCGAGCACGCATCAGCGGGCGCGAGGCTTCAATGAAATGCGACATGATGAATGATGGATGATGGATGATGGATGATGGATGATGGATGATGGATGATGGATGATTGGATGGATGGATAGGATGAGGCGCAATCGGTACTTGGTAGATCACAGACAGAAATAAGAGATCAAGGATGAGGAGACACTTGCTAATCCTGTCAATCACAGATCAAGAGAATCGAACGACCAGAGCATGGAACTATATATGACGGCCGCGACCAGCACTCGCCCAGGTCAGGTGATGCGCCGGTCGCCCAAAGCGGCGGGGGCAGCTCCCTCCCACGGATCGCAGATCACCGCCGTCACGTCCAACGGATCAGTGTCCTCCGTGGCAATCACTCCATCCTCGAATCAGATCTCCTCAATGGCCTGCCATGCTCAGCTTCTCCGCATCGGCGATGATGCAGGAGGACAGGCAGACAGGCAGACCAGACCATGGAGCTACCCCCCTCCCACTTCCAAGGGACCGAGGAACGAATCATGCAAGAGAGCCCATCAGTCCCTCTTGCTCCTGCTTCTCCCAACCATGTGGGATGAGATCATAGGCGACGGCGGGCAGAATGCCACCCTTCGAGGGCTTGGGCTTGCCCCGTTCCTATTAACTCTGGTTAGCGGTTCTGGATAGCTCTATTTTTCAGCATCATCCGAACAACGCATCCAGTAAGTGCTGTCGCCGGCTGTCGAGTCTCGAAGCTTCTACCCTCGACGGCGTTGGCCACCTTCCTCAGTTACTACCCCGAAGCATCCTGGTCGCCACGATCGACCTAATCATCTCGTGCGGCCGGGTAACGGGTGAATAGCTGACTCGCTCGTCCCGGTCACATCTTGGGGAGATGCCTCGTCGTGATCAGGAGATTGGACGATCACCAGAAAACAGGATGCACGCTAACCTCGTCGCCGTCGCCGTCGGTACTCCACTGTGGATTCAAACTGCTCGGCTCCCCGCATCATCGGCTGGCAATCACTGCACCCCAGCATCGTCATCTGGGGAGACTGGAGCTGAGAGACTAGTCAGTACGGAGACGTGACTAGTCACAGAGAGAGCGTCTTTTTTTTTTTTTTTTGCTCTACCCTCCGCATCTTGTTTCCTGCCGATCGGTAGGGGTATGTAGGGGGGAGGAGAATGCCAGTTCCCAACCCTGTCTGGCACCTTGTAGATCGGTCGACAAGCTCAAGAGAAAGGAAAGGGGGAAACCGGTTTACCTGCTCTAACTGATTATACGGAGTACGTGATCGGGTGAAATTACTCGGTGTACTCCGTAGGAGTAGTGTCTACGAAATCCTGCAGATAAGCGCTCACTCTCTTCCCCTCATTCCTCGTTCTTGGAGAATGGTGCCATCGCGACAGCTCGGCGTGTCTGGGGATGCATAGTAGTGCATAGTCTAGTCTGCCTAGAGCAGTCAATTCTCTACCATAGTCTCCAAAAGACTACCGGTAGATTTTTTGATGTTGCATTTCCAACCAGCGTATCTCAATCGCTCCCGCCCTTCGTTCCCCTGACCTGCATTTTCACATTCATCCCCCTTCTGAGGTCATACCCACTCCAACTCCCTCTCTGCCCGGTTAAGTTCCAACGGTCGCAATCCACCACCTTACGTACAGTGCAGGTGTAGAACACGGTCCTGTCCTGAGATACCATCTACCAACCCAGTAGCCAGTAAATGAAGAAAATATGTCGTCGAAACGACGAGCCCAGAATTAACCCTCGCAGCGGCCACAGATTAGATCGATGGACAAGGCGCGGTCAACCTACCTACCTAAGATCGCAGGGTCAGGTCAAACCCAACTCAATCCATGCAATCCAATCAACCCGACGAAATGTATAGGGTAAAAAGAAACGGCCAGAACAAGCAATTGTACGGATAGAGCCATCGAGCCGATCCACAATCGTTTGGTTCCGAGTCCCGATGCATCGAATGCGACTGTTAAATGCACCATCCATAACTACATATTACTACTGATTAGGGATTGTATGAGGAAGTGGGTCGGATTGACGGAGTCTGATGTCATCACTATTGGTTAGTTAGTTAGGTAACCGAGTAATTGATCACTCTCCCCTCCTTTTCCCTCCCCCTTTCATGCGCGAACCGGTTATTTTATTTTATTACTATGCACTATGCACTATGCACCATGCAGGATACGCAAAGGGAGGGAGCGGAACCAAGAAAAGAAAGGTGTTTGACGTCAATCTTTGGTCCATGAATGATTGATTGAATAATTGCTGAACTTACGGACTAAGTACTTCTATTACTAAGAAATATATGTGATCGCATCGGCTCGATCAAGTCATATACCGGAATCCCTTCTGCAGCTGTCTCGCAGCCGCAATATCGATCCCCTCGACGTCCGCCGTGCGCTGCAAGCGCTGCAATTCACGATCCGTCAACACCACATCCTCGTCCTCCAATCTCGCCAACCGCTTGTTCAGCGACTTCAAATGAAGATACATGAAGAGGGCCATGAGCGCGCCGACGCCCTGTAACGCGATACAGACGCCCATGGCGGGACGGTAATGCGGCTTGTCCTTCTCGCGATACGTGTAGGGGGTCCAGATGCTGGCGGAGTTACCGACCGAGTTTATGAAGGCGTATGCGGCGGCGCGCTTGGCCGGGGGCCGGGGGATGGCGTTGGCGATCCACGAGTAGACGGTGCCGTTCTGGGCGAAGACGAAGATCATGAGGAAGAAGGAGAAGTAGCGGGGGCCGAAACTGTTGGTGGTCATGAAGATGACGAACCCGACGATGGTGATGGGGATGGGGTAGACGAAGAACCAGAATCGGTTTCCCAGGCGGTCGGACATGTAGGAGTGCGTGAGGCTGTAGAAGACCATGAAGATGTAGGGAGGGGCGACGAGTAGTAGCGAGATGATCTCTCCGTAGCCGAGGGTGCCGGTCAGTGTTGGGAAGAAGTTCTGGAACCCGCTGGCGCCGGTGATGGCCATGTAGGCGAGCGCGAGCGCGTAGGTCTTGATGTCCGAGAAGGCGAGCTTGATGCCTTTGAGCTGGCTCATCTTGCCGGCTTCGTCGACGTCGGCCTCGGCTGCCTCGATGGCTAATCGACGGTTCGCGACGTGCTTCATCTCCGGCGAGAGGAGGCGCCAGGTATTGGGAAAATCGGGCAGCACGACGGACACGGTCAGGCCGATCGCGATGGTGATGACCCCTTCAATGATGTAGAGCCACTGCCATGCAGAGATGCCCTGGTGACCGTCCAGCCCGTTCAGGATTCCGGCAGCGATGAGGTTACCGAACGCGCCGCTGAGCAGAGAACCCGAGTAAAAGATACTCATCCGCAAAGCCAATTCCTTCTTGGTATACCACTTGGACAGATAAAACAACACCCCGGCAAAGAAGGGAGCCTCTACTAAGCCCAGAATGAACCGACAGGCGACAATACCTCCGTATCCCTTGACCTGACTGGTCAGCGACGACACCAAGCCCCAGGCGGTGGTGAAGAAGCCGAGATAGAGCGACGGCCGACCCATGTAATTCAAGAGGATGTTGGACGGGACCTGCATGAGGATGTAGCCGACGAATAAGATGGACAGGCCGGTTTGGTACTGCTCGTCGTTCAGGCCAAGGTCGCCTTCCAGACCTTGGAGTTTAGCTGCGGCATAATTGTTGCTGCGGAGATATTAGTCGTTAGATATGAGGGTATGCCACTCAGGCCCCTTACCGATCAATGTAGTTCATGAGATAGACCAAGATCACCAGCGGCATGATCAGACTGTCGATGCGACGCCGGAGCTTCTTCTCGATGACTTTCTCTTCGTCAGTCAGCTGCGCGATCTGCGCGACTTCATCGTGGGTCATGTTGGCTTTCTCGCCAAATGCCTCGGAGTCGGTGGTGACATTTTCGCCCATAGTGCAGTATACTGGAGAAAATATGGAAAGTTGTCGTACAAAATACCTTCAAAAGAAGACCAGCAAGCGCGACCGACGCGATTTTATACATAAAATGCCGGTCGCACACGGCAATACGTGCAGAAAGAACCGGGGTAACTCCAGCACATCAAAACGTGGGGGAGCAACCAACCAGCAAATCGCCGAAAAGGGACCACGGAACGACTGAGCTCATCCGGGGTCATACTTAACGTTATTGCAAAACCCGGGGAGGAGACATAGCTCCAACAGCCAATCTAAGACTCCTTCCTAGCCCGTCAAACATCTTCCCCCACGCGGGGCGCTTTCTTCTTCATCCATCGTGCGGGTGACCCGTCTGGGGTTCGGAGCATGTCCGCGGGGAAAGGGCAGCGATCTACACCGTCGCGATCGTCTAGACTTACGCTGTCGAGTAGGTCCTCCGAGCGTGGCGTCTATAGGGGGGTGAGTGGTCTGATGGGTTAGACCGTGTCCCTTTCGTGCGGGTATCAAGGTTTACATGCGGGCTGGAGGCTGGCTGCTTTGTTCTAGGTATCCCGAGGCTTTTCCTCATCACTCTGGGGAATGCTTGGCTCGCACCATCTCCGGCTGGGTCGCATTGCTTGGTTTGTCAGCTCTGCTGTCCGGGGGGGGGAGGGGGGGATTCTCGTCGATGCTCCGATCGTACACTCGAGTTCAGAACCGGCGCCCGGGTCTTAGTTTCATTAATTGTTTTCTATCGCGAACGATAGGATGGCACCTAATTTAGCCGCGCCCACTCTGCAGCTTGTCGAGGATATGATAACGAGCAAAGAACTCACAGCTGTCCAAATGGCTGAAGCGGCTGACTGCCATGAACGCACTATCAGAAGACTGCGTTCCAACAAACGCATGTTTGGTACGATGAAAGCCCCCTTAAATCGAGGTGGAGGCCGCGGAGTCTCACACCAGTCATGATCAAAGGTCTGTGTGATTATTTACTCGAAAAGCCACACTTAAATTTAGACGAGATGGTGATTTTCGTGCACGATATGTTCCAAAAAGAAGTGTCAAAATCCAGCATCAGACGTGCGCTCGCAAATGAGGGCTGGTCAAAGAAGAAAGCCAAGCAAAAGGCAATCGAGCAAAATGCTGGTTTACGAGATGAATGTACCTACTTCGTCTCAGGCTTTAGCTCTAGCCAATTTGTCTTTGTCGACGAATCTGGATGTGATCGACGGATAGGGACGAGAAGGACAGGCTGGTTACCGCTTGGTATTACACCTGTGCACATTACAAAGTTCCACCGAGGCCAGCGGTATCATATCCTTCCGGCCTATGCTCAAGATGGCATCGTCCTTTGTCGCATATTCAAAGGTTCAACCGATGTATCTCGCATCGAGGACTTTATTGAGGAACTACTCCACCATTGTGGAACTTATCCTGAGCCTAGGTCTGTTTTGGTGATGGATAGCGCCTCATTTCATCATTTGGAGAGGATCAAATAAATGTGCTCACAGAAGGGGGTTATCCTGGTATATCTGCCGCCGTACTCGCCTGATTTAAATCCCATTGAAGAATTCTTTGCGGAGCTCAAGTCGTTTATTCGACGTAATTGGCAATCCTATGAAGACAATTCCAATCAAGGGTTTGGTTCTTCTCTTGAGTGGTGTGTGGATGCTGTGGGCGCAAAGAAGGAAAGTGCTGAAGGACATTTCCGTAATGCAGGCCTAGGGATAGAAGGGTAATTGGTCGTGCGACGTTGTATTGTGAGCTGCTGCACGTTTTGTACATGGTTAGTCAATATGTTATTCGTTTAGAGTTCGGTGCAGAGGCTCCTTGAACGTAGTCAGAATGATGATTACAGGCCTAGTCTTCTCTTGGATTATAGGGGTCAAATAGACATAATCAAACGAGACTTGCTTCAAAGGATTTTTCTGCCTTGTGTAAGTCCAAGATCCATAAGGGATATATTAGATATTACAAAATTATAAAGTCATATATATATATCTCTATATATTAAGCACCGCTGTCGTCGCGATCTTTATGTGTACAAGACTTGACCTAAAGACTGATATCACGCACAAACCTGCGAGCAACTCCTATTTTCACACCCTGTTCGACGTAAAACTCGGGCTTAACCTCGCAATTAACCTGTTTAAGGTCGAGGCAGTTTTCCAATGTGATATCACGGGTCTTTGAATAATTCAGTGTCCACCCGGGATAGCTGCCAATCAGTGTAGTTATCCACTGCTACTTCAAAAAGTCCGGGGATGTCGATATTCTCAGCCTGATCGGACCTCGACGTATGTCCATCAATGTTGTCTGTTGGAACCGTTGATGCCTGAGGTAACTGTGCCGGCAGGAAATGAAAGTTGATGGGTTGGATTAATCCATTCGCTGGATTGATTGATTTTTGCGCCTTTTTACGCTGCTTTTCGTCCTCTGCATACAACCTTTCCCGAACCTCATATGGAACATCGTCATGGGTCTCTAGGACATTTCCGTCCTCCATGTGCTGAACAAGACTTCTCAAATGGTGGGACAGGAGTTTATAATGTTTTTTCCCCGCCGGATCCAACCAGCAGAACTGGCCATTATGATGGCACGGTCGACTAGGGCAACGCATCACCTTTTACACATCCCACCAGGCAGCAGGCTGCCCAGAAGAGCGTTCCGCTTCCATTTGGACTTCCCGTTCCCCTAGCATTCTCGTTGTTGTCGATGTTGGTCCTCTTTTATCCGTTCGAGAAGGAGATAGGGTACTGTCCTCCAAGTAGTTGATAGTTATGGAAAGCCTTAACTCTTTCCCTGCATGGAAAAGCGCTCTCCACACCAGAAGTTGCTTCTCTATAGCAGTCCAATCGACATCAGTATATTCAAATTGTTTAATGAGGTCGCGATATCTACGATCATTCACAGAAACCACGATCTTAGTATTATCTAGTCTCACGCGTTGGTTGGAGTTCGTCTTCCGGTCTATGATCTTTTTGGCCTTCTCGGTGATTGCTTGCCAGTAGAAACGTGGCTTCAGCTCCAGATCTTGTTCAGTGTCTTTCGACACAACCCGGTTATTGATAGTTACTTTCCATTCAATGATGTATAATATACCCTCGTTATCCCAGTCAGCGTTGTGAGAGAGGCTGACTTGCCTACACAGGAGTTCAGGCAATGGCGTGGAGTGTTCCGGAGATATACGCACAGGGGAGGGGTTACGAAAGGATAGCGTATCGAAGCCGAAATTCCCTGTAGTGGGGGCATATGACGGAGTTTGTTGCCACGATTCGAGCTGCGTAGCGTAGTCGTCATTGAGAGGGCTACATGCCGTCTCTTCGATACAGTAGATGCCGCTGAGGAGCCTAGGATCATATGGCATTAGCTTCGATGAGTAAATAATCTCTAACAAGCCAATGAGAATGATCAGTAGAGCGACAGGCATTGTTTTGATCTAGCCCTTGCCGCAAATAAGCTGCTAGCTTTCTCGCGAAGGAGGTGGTACGGCAGCTCATAGTTACTGACCAGGTCTGGTAACTCGCAGTCTCAGGCCAACTTGTAATGTCCGCATGGCAAGTGCGACTGGATTAAACCAAGAGATGCTGAGGGACATACCAATTGAATGTTTACATAGGAATCATGTCCCAGGCATTATGGACTATGTGGATCTCCCGGCCCGTCCCATATTCATCCTAGGGTTCGATCTGAGCGTGAAAGAAAGTAAGCGCCTGGCAGGCGCTTACTAACCCTGATTTTCCATGACTCGAACGAGACGTAAGCATCGATGTGAGGAGGCTGATCACAATTATCATAATTTGGAATTATCCCAGCCAGATGGCAGCATGTTATTGGTCAATAATGGGACTCTACCATTTCAGCTGCGCCAACACATCAGGGGAAGGCACTCTCATAAAAGGTCTAACACGCCTCATTTATTCTCCCCATGTCATTTTCCACGAAATTTTTCAGTGCACATTGTGATTGTTTGGCTCATGATGAAACGGTGGTTGAAGAAAAACCTCAGTATTTCCCGCCGCAACAAGTCCGAGCCGCATCATATCGAGAGTCAACCCAACGAGTCTGTAGGATCCGCATCAGTTCCAATCGCCGCAGTCACGCTGCCCAATGCAGTCGACGCTCAGGACACTTCCCTGTCCGAAAACCTATGGAAGTCTGCCTATGATGAGCTGAAACCAGAGGAGCAAGTTATTCTGTCCCTAGCACAAGCCAGTACTGAATCAGAAAAGGAGGAAAGTGTCTCCCGGGCCGGACACATTGTTGATAAGGTTATCCAAATAACCGAGAAACAATACAAGGAATACCAGCAAGGGGGCCTTAAAATCCATCGGCCAACAGGAAAAGATATAGATTTTCGAAAGGTGTCACGAAAAATACTTAATGCTGCATTGTCATTCAAAGATGTTATTACTGCCGTTGTAGCCTTTGATCCTACCCACCATGCAGCAAGTGCGTGGGCAGTCGTTTCCCTTGGATTGACAGTGAGTCATGTTACTATCATTTTACAGCGGGAGACTTATATTCTTCAATTATAGATAGCGCAAAATCGACTTGACTTGCGAGATGCTTTATTTGAATCGTCTGAATACCTTGCAGACACTATTACTCGATGCACCTATATTGAGCAGAGGTTTTACCGCAATAGCTCCAAGGAAAAGATTGAGATAGGCCGTGCGACAATCAGGGTTTATACGGCCATTCTTCGATATGCAGCAGAGCTTTTGGCTACCCAACAACCCAGCATCGGAAAAAGAGTGTTGATTAGTGTCATACCGCTAACTGATCAACGCCTCACCGGACTTCGATCGTCTATTGAGGAAGAATGGCAGAAGCTATACCAGTGGGTCCATTTTGACGCATTAGATACCCTTTTGCAAAATGGGAAAGAAGCAGAGTCTCGGCTAGCTAGGATCGATGAGGAAGTATCAGAATATCTACAAGCTCTTATCAAGAGGTTTAGTCTGCCTATCGTGGAAGGAGCATCATACGACTCATATGAGAATCAGTATGGAGAGAAATGCCTTCCGGGTACCAGAAGTGATCTTCTTCGCCAGATTATAGACTGGGCCGTAACATCAGACAAATGCATGTTTTGGTTAAATGGTATGGCAGGAACTGGCAAGTCTACCATCTCCCGGACAGTCGCAGAGTCACTTAAAGAGAAGGGACTACTAGGGGGTAGTTTCTTCTTCAAAAGAGGCGAAGCGGACCGTGGTAACGCAAGGAGATTCATCTCGACAATAGCCAGGCAATTAATGGCCAGTCACCCGCATTTAGCCTCTGGCATGTTAGGAGCAATTCGGAATGATACAGATTTGTCAACAAAAGCTCTCGATCAGCAATTTGATAAGCTCCTTTTTCAACCACTGAGCGAGGGAAAGCAGTATGAGACTACTTCTGTAATTGTGATAGATGCATTGGACGAGTGCGAAGATAACGATATTGAAATTTTACTCAGGCTTTTACCGCAGCTGCAGAAATCCAAGTCCATTCGTCTGCGGATTTTCCTGACAAGCCGGCCTGAGCTTTCAATCCGTGATGGCTTCGAACGAAACCGGGATCATTCAGATATCGTTCTCCAAGAAGTGCCCGGTATTGAACATGACATCCGCGTCTTCTTGCGACACCGATTTTCTCATATTAAGGAAAAGCGGAAAGTCCCTGGAGATTGGCCTGGATATAAGACAACGGAGGCATTAGTAAAAATGACTGTCCCTTTATTCATTTTTGCAGCGACAATTTGCCGTTTTGTCGAAGAGAAATATCAGGTCCCGGAGCATCAGCTTAAGATAGTCCTGGAAAACCCGGATATAACGTCATCATCCCAGATGGAAAGGATATATCTGCCAATATTAAAGCACCGTGTTGAGAGCTCTCCAGTCCTCAAGCATGAATTCCGTAACATAGTTGGAACTATCATTTTTCTTGCTGATCCGCTCTCAGTCAATAGCCTTTCTGGGCTTATTGGTATGGAAGAAAGAAGACTTATGGCTCTATTGGACGCATTTCACTCGGTTCTTAAAGTCCCAGGGGATTATCATACACCAGTCCGCATTCTGCATCTATCATTTCGAGAATTCCTCGTCAGCACACAGGACGAAGACTTACGTGTCGATAAAGTAAAGATACACGAAAGGCTACTACAGAGTTGTCTGCAGGTCATGAAAGATCCTAGCTTGGGGTTAACGCGCAATATCTGTCGATTATCAAGTTATGGTATACTACGGGAAGACGTTGACAGTTATGCGATTTCTCAGTACATTTCGCAAATTCTGCGATACTCTTGCCGCTACTGGGCGTTTCACTTCAGGAAAAGTGAATCTGATGCGTGTGAGATCGAAATATTCTCATTTCTGAAAGAGTATTTCCTCCATTGGTTGGAGGCTATGAGCTTAATGGGACTTGCCTCGGAGACTATTGGTATAATTAATGCACTACAGTCAAGGTCAAGGGTAAGTCGCTATGTAAACTGTCACCCAATAGCTACTAATATCCTTACAGAATAATATGAGCACAGAATTAGAAGGCTTCCTAAAGGATGCTAACCGATTTGTCTTAAAACATATCCAGATGATCGACAATACCCCACTTCAAGTATATTGCTCTGGACTCGCGTTCTCTCCTACAGACAGTATTATTAGAAGAATCTTCAACAATCAACGACCTAATTGGATGCCTGCGTTGCCGCAAGTGCAGAAGTCATGGAGCGCCCAGTTGCAAACCCTCGAGGGCCATTCCGCTTCGGTGAACTCAGTGGCCTTTTCGCCGGACGGCCGGAGGATCGTGTCAGGATCTGGTGACAAGACCATCAAGCTCTGGGATGCTCAGACCGGCTCAGAGCTGCGAACCCTGGAAGGCCATTCCAGTTGGGTTTTCTCAGTGGCCTTCTCACCGGACGGCCAGAGGATCGTGTCAGGATCTGGTGACAAGACTATCAAGCTCTGGGATGCTCAGACCGGCTCGGAGCTGCGAACCCTGGAGGGCCATTCCGTGGCCTTCTCACCGGACGGCCAGAGGATTGTGTCAGGATCTGGTGACAAGACCATCAAGCTCTGGGATGCTCAGACCGGCTCGGAGCTGCAAGCCCTCGAAGGCCATTCTAGTTCAGTTTTGTCAGTGGCTTTCTCGCCGGACGGCCAGAGGATCGTGTCAGGATCTGGTGATGACACTATCAAGCTCTGGGATGCTCAGACCGGCTTAGAGCTGCGAACCCTGGAAGGCCATTCCGCTTCAGTGAACTCAGTGGCCTTCTCACCGGACGGCCAGAAGATCGTGTCAGGATCTGGTGATGATACCATCAAGCTCTGGGATGCTCAGACCGGCTCGGAGCTGCGAACCCTGAAAGGCCATTCCAGTTGGGTTTTCTCAGTGGCCTTCTCGCCGGACGGCCAGAGGATCGTGTCAGGATCTCGCGACAAAGCCATCAAGCTCTGGGATGCTCAGACCGGCTCAGAGCTGCAAACCCTGAAAGGCCATTCCAGTTGGGTAAACTCAGTGGCCTTCTTACCGGACGGCCGGAGGATCGTGTCAGGATCTGGTGACAAGACCATCAAGCTCTGGGATGCTCAGACCGGCTCGGAGCTGCGAGCCCTGAAAGGCCATTCCAGTTCGGTTTTCTCAGTGGCCTTCTCACCGGACGGCCAGAGGATCGTGTCAGGATCTCGCGATGACACCATCAAGCTCTGGGATGCTCAGACCGGCTCGGAGCTGCGAGCCCTGGAAGGCCATTCCAGTTGGGTGAACTCAGTGGCCTTCTCGCCGGACGGCCAGAGGATCGTGTCAGGATCTGGTGACAAGACTATTAAGCTTTGGGATGCTCAGACCGGCTCGGAGCTGCGAACCCTCGAAGGCCATTCCAGTTCGGTTTTGTCAGTGGCCTTCTCGCCGGACGGCCAGAGGATCGTGTCTGGATCTGGTAATGATATTATCAAGCTCTGGGATGCTCAGATCGGCTCGGAGCTGCGAACCCTGGAAGGCCATTCCAGTTGGGTAAGGTCAGTGGCTTTCTCACCGGACGGCCAGAGGATCGTATCTGGATCTGGTGACAAGACCATCAAGCTCTGGGATGCTCAGACCGGCTTAGAGCTGCGAACCCTGGAAGGCCATTCCAGTTCGGTAAACTCAGTGACCTTCTCACCGGACGGCCAGAGGATCGTGTCAGGATCTAGTGATGACACCATCAAGCTCTGGGATGCTCAGACCGGCTCAGAGCTGCAAACCCTCGAGGGCCATTCCGCTTCGGTGAACTCAGTGGCCTTCTCGCCGGACGGCCAGAGGATCGTGTCTGGATCTGGTGACAAGACCATCAAGCTCTGGGATGCTCAGACCGGCTCGGAGCTGCGAACCCTAGAAGGCCATTCCGTTTCGATTTCAAATGTCTCATCAGGTAATACCCAGTTGGAGCACGAACAAGGCTCGCGGATATCAGTTGAAGATTCTTGGGTATGTTTGAGAGCTGAACGGTCATTATGGCTTTCTCCTGACCTTCGTGGACCGATTTGTCATGATATCAAACATGATACACTGGTGCTTGGGTATCGCGATGGTCATGTTCTCATCATTAGGTTTTGTGCCCCTTCCGATTGAATCCGGTTTTAATCGCACGATCCCATCTCCTTATTTTTTCTAATATCTATGTAAAAAGGGGGCCTGGGATAGCTGAGCCTTATATTTTGATTTTCATGGTCAAGAAGTTTCTAGCCACTTCGGTGGCGGGTAGCCATCCATCAAAGGGCCACAGCCACCGAAGATGATGTAATGTGATGTGTAGGTAAGGATTATCCACGGCCGAGCCGTCCACATGGTCGTCCCGTCCACTTCCCCCGCAACCATCATGAATTTGAAGTTTTACGACTAACAACATCATTGAATTAGACTGTATGAAATATAAAATGAATAGCTATTTACTAGGGCAGCTTCGTATTGTATGTCCAACTGTCCCACAGCCACTGCAGCGAGGTGGAGCGCGTTGGCGAGACACAGGTGTAGACTCATTAACCTGCTCATTAAGCTGCATATCAAGCTGCTGAGTGCGGCGGTCACGGCCTTCCTGTACAGATATAAAGAGATCATTTCCTAGAGACGTGCGTTTCCTTGCTTTTTTCTTTATTTTTCGCTCATTCTCAGCTCGTAGAACCTTTATTTCTTGTTGAAGAAGAAGGTTCGTATTCATTGCCATTTGCGCAGCTTTTTCAAGATGTTGAATATGAGAGACTGGACTGCTAGAAATTGTTCTTTATTTTGAAGACTTCTTTGTAGCCTTTGAACCTTACGATCAATCTGCCGAGAGTTCTGAGGTGTTTGAAAAGTCGATAATATTGAGCCTTCAGTGAGTAATGGTAGTGTTAATGTGCGAAGTTGAAAGTGATTTTCTCAAGAATTCGGTCTTGATCAAGTAGTTTAAGACCTGATCCTGCAAAGTCACTGCATATGTCTTTTTTGAGTAAAGACTTCTTTACGTGCAGAAGGATAAAGGTGTAGAAAATCCCCCTTGTCAATATGGTTATTTCCAGCTGCCATTATCTCCTCAACTAGTTTTCCGTATGCGCATTTAAGCAGTCCAAAAACATCAACATCAAGTGGCTGAAGAAGATAAGATATATGCGGAAGCATACAAAGACAGATAACTGCATTCTCTCTGCAGAAAGTATCAAATTCTGCAGATTGATGACTTGAATGACCGTCAAGAATAAGCAACCGTTTTGCACCAGTTGAATGGAACTTAGAAACAGGATTAAACACTTGCGTTAACCACTTTAGGCCTATTTCGTCTGTTGTCCAGCCATTGGTACTGTTGGTAAGCCTCCAATCTAGAGGAAGATTAGGCCCTTGATATCACAGAGCCTGGTGTTCTTTCCCTTTTAAGATAACCACTCCCTTTTAAGATAACCACTGGTAGTATAGCAATTCCCTTAGAACTCACACATTCAATTATTGTCACCCATTCGCGATTGCCTTGGATGACTCTTCGAGATCTTTCACTGGGCTCCACTGCAGTAATAACCTTAGAGGTTGTACAGAGTCCCATTGCAAAGCCAGTCTCATCAAAGTTCCAGATATTATCTTCATGTATGCCATGTTCTTGAATAGCTTCGCGTATAGTCTCAAACTATGGCATTATTATCTTTGGATCCTCTTGCATTACCCTCTGATATGAAATTCTTCGATTGTATCTTGTACGTAGCTAAGGGCGGCGTTTAATATATGAATAAGCCCAGTTGACTCCAAGAACTGCAGTCGGATCTTGTGTATGCTCGCGAAGTAGAGTCTGCGCCATTCCACGTAAAAATTTGGGTCGAATTGAAAAGCCTCGTTTATCTGCATCTAGCAGCCTCTTAGCAAGTATTTCTTCTTCAAGAGCTGATAATTTATAGCCACTAGCGCGTGTTTCTGATCGTGATTGAATTCCATTGAGCCGATCAAGGAATGTGGTCTTTGGCACTCCAAATATTGCTGCAGCCTTTGATTTTGAACGAATTTTTTGGTTATTGTACGCAATGATTGCCATTTGAATTCGATTTTCCTGAGATAATGGCATTTTGAGAAATGGTAGTGATTAAATGACGCGTTAAAATATTGAAATATGATTATTGGGAAGTTGCGGGGAAAGTGGACGGGACGACTGTGTAGACGGCTCGGCCGTGGATTACGTCTAATACACTCAATCTTTTTTATACGGTGCGGTACCATATGTAACATTCAACGGGCAGTGCCTCTCATTACGAGCCTTTCCTTGTCAGTATTAGTGTATCCTTGGCACGCGACGCAAAAAAGGAAAAGAGTAAAAGACCCTTTGAACTTGAGTATACCATGATGGAATGACGGAATAGACTTCATTTTCCTCGTATGGATTCTACCTTTCGAATCCGAGACCCCCACGTGCCAAGTTGCTAAGCAGACTAAGGAGTGACATCTGCATCTATAAACTAGTAAGAAACGCTATCTCTGCAAAAGACCAGCCAAGAAATCGATAGAAGTCCAAGTACTATGTTTACCTTGAAAGAACAGAAAATCCTTGGGAAAGCTGGCTGGCTCTTGTGCCTCTCTATTACTTCTAAGAGAAATGCCATCATACTTATAGCGTGATCGAGTACCGAAACGACTGCGTCTCGAAATTAATATCTTCGAATCGACAAGGCTTCCCCCAGCGAACTTGCGACTCATCGTCCTCCGCCCACCATCCCCGTGCACCCATCAAGTAGAGCCTAACTCGCTTCAGGATCGACTGTATGGCTTCTTCCGGAGGCTGTCCCCAGAAGATGATATCCAGCGGCGGAGGAATTCGAAAGGGCGCATTGGTCAAGAATCCCATTGCTTCCAGGCGAGAGGAATCCCACATCACGTATCCCGCTCGACGAAGCTCGCGCGTCGCAACGCCCCCGACGAAGTCCGGTGCCGGCATTTTCATGTGAGACCAGATCCAGACCTGTGATGGGCCACTGTTGGGATCGAGGACCCCTAACATTGGGAATCTTTCCAGGTCTTCCGGGCGGTAATTTTCTAATGGAGTCGTCTCATCCATACCGATCCTATGGACAGGCATTTCGTCGTGGGGCAGACGGGCGACGTGGCCAGTTACGGCGGGTGTCAGAAGTCGGTATTGTTCATCGTATGTTGCAGCTGTGATAATCTTTTTCAATTGCATCAGGCTTTGTAAAAGCTAGCGAGTATTAGACGGTTGGCGACCGATAAAATCAAGGGAAGGCTAACTTACGACTTTGCCCATGATAGTCGGTTGACCGGCGGTTTCCCAAGGCTCGACCAGGGAGTAGCCTACCGCTCGAAACGCCCATTCAATGTCGTGGGCCGCAATATCATTGAACACTGAGGGAGGATGATAAGTAGAGAACGCGTCAGATTGCTACTATGAAGCGACTTACGCGGTGCAAGTCTCCGGAACAAATAATCACTCGCACAGATCATCTGCTCGAGCTCCCAAACATAGAAGCGCTTGTAGTACATGCCCCATTGCTCTCGCTTGTCAACATCCCAGTTGCCGTAGCGGAAAAGCAGCCTGTGGATTTCCAGCTGGTAGAAACTCCTAGCCACCCGGCGCCATTCGTCAAGCGATAGTGGCTGAATTGAAGCTCTGGGTGTATCTGCTAAGGTGGATGAGGCGAAATCGCTGATGAAGAATTGAATGCATTGATGCAGCTCCTCCATATAAGATGCAGCTTGCATGGTCCAGCGGAACGAGGACGGGAATTGGCGGGCCTGGTATTGGTCGAAGATCGCTAGGACATCCTCAGGCATCCAGTCTTCTTTCGCACTTCGAGCACTGAAGGCGAGAACCGCATCGTGAAGTAGTTCTGGATCGATCGAGTGGAGTATGATCTGGCGGATGATATACTCGCTGCGATCGGCAAAAGCCCAGTACAGTGCGGGGTGAGCCAGTACTGCTGCCTTGAGCGTCGCCACGCTTGAGAGGCTACACAAGATGGCTTGTCTGCACTCGATGGGCAAAGTGCACAACGAAGGTGAAAAAATGGTGCAAGACTGAGGATTCATGGTGGAGTTCAGACGGATTGTTGAAGAGAGTGCAGGCGAGGCTGCCTTCCATGTTGACATGCGGAGATGGACACCTTAGGCAACGGGGCACGAGCCTTTCCCAATCAGGCAATTCGTGTAATCGCCCAATCATGTGAATCATGAGGACTATACCTAAGGTATTCACTAAGTATCACAACTTCATGAATCTACGATTACCAGCAGCAATAGAAAACCGCCCTCAACCCCCCACGACATGCAAATAAAGCCGCTCCATCCTCATCTGCTTCATCAGCCACTCCGTCCCACCCTCCTCCCTCATCCACGTCTCATGATAGTATCCTCCCCCGGTCTCATGCCTCCCACTTTCCATGCCCTTCGCCCCACAATGATAAATAAACGACCAGACAGCTTTCACCTCGTCCGGAGCAACTTGGTCCAACTCCCCTGGCCCGACGTGATGGACCGTCTGCATCGTCTTAAACATCCCGCTAAAGTAGTATGCGAACGCGGCCCGCGAGTCGAACTTAAACTCCACCTCATCAACGCGCATGAGAGATCCGTCGGTATTGTAGAATGTGAACGTGGCGTCTGGTGCGATGACGTTGTCCATGCTGTGAAGATCGTTGTGGTCGGCGAGACGGCAGTACCGGGACTTTTTGAAGCGGATTTGTTCGGCGATTTCTGGGGCGATCGGAGGTGGCATTTTGTTGGTCTAGTTGTGGGTTATTTGGCCGATATCGACGAGAGAGAAGTAGAACCAGGGAGCTAGGAGGTAAAGAAATTGGAATCTTGGTGTTTGAGATCGCGAGATTCGAAAGCTTAGGAAAAGGAAATCAAGCGGAGAGGTGGTGATGGTTTTATAGTGCTTGCAGTTGAGGTACATTTGAAGTTCCACAATGAGTAAAAAATTCTGTCACCCTATCACATTCATGAAAGGTATGTTAGTAACGGGCACCAGGGCGGGCAATTTCAGGGAATTGCCAAATCAAAACCCTAAATGTCGCCGAAATGCAAATGGGGTAATACCTTTGGAGGGTATCCCTTGGTTCAGTGCATGTCATTCATTCAAACGAGAAGAGTATCTAGTTCTTCACTGAAGAATCCCACTCCACATCTACGGCGTCCACTCCTCTATACTCGAAAAATCGAGTCCACTCGGGATCATCAATCAGCGTCTGCGCCAGGCTCTTCTCGTAAGCAAGCGAGAACCCCGGCCCCTTATATGATTCAGGTCCTCATCGCCGTGGGGGGTAGATGACCAGCATTCCTTGAGATACACAGTCTATCAAATGACGGTACGTGATAGGGATTGCGAACCCAAAGTCAGCAGCCGTGATATTCGCATCGCGGTGATCCGTCTGTAGGACGGAAAGAGGCAGGTGGGAATTGATTCGGATACTTATGGTCGTCTTGTCTTGGACGAATGCTACGGAGTCTAGGGTCTTGTCGAGACTCCCCTGCGTGATGCAGTCGGTAAGTTTGCGGACATACGAGGCAAGTTGCGAGAGCGGTCAGTCGGAAATGTCTTCGGCAACGGTCGGTTGGGGGGCTGGTGCGGTTGGAGAGCATGCAACGTGCATGATGTTGCCCTGGATGCGCGGGTGGACCTTCGGACTGTGGAAGCGACGACGCATATCGACAGCCTCGGACCAGAAGACGGGCGACGACAGATCTGCCTTGAAGACGGGGGCTCGTAGGCGGGAGAAAGTCCGCCACATGTAGGCCGAGAAAGCATCGTAGGTCGAAATTCACGTTCCGTCGGTGGGTGAGGCCAGTCGCTTCAATTCAGCTGCTTTGCTCTTTGGGGGGGGGGGGGGGTGGAAAAGAAGCGATACCGACTCTACATGCGCTGGGTGAGCCTCTGATAGTGGAGGTCCATTGACCTTCTTCTCCTCAGGCGGTTCTGGTTTCAAGAGCCGCGAGCGATCGAGGAGAGCTGGATTCCACGGCGGAGGAGATGTATTGTTGAGAATGGTCTTGCAATGCTCGGCTAGTTGATGGGTGTATCCTGCCCAGCCCATAACGTCGTTCGCGGAGTGATGGTGATGCATGTTGAACACCAATCCACCACGCACAAAGCTCGCCTTAAAGGCAGATACCGTCGGACTACAGTCTAGGTGAGCCTCTGGTTTTTCCTCGTACGTCATCAGCGACACACTCCAGTCATGCAGGTCGCCCAGGGAGACGGAGGTGAAGTTGGTCTTCTCGATCTCATCCAAAGACGGGTATTCCTTATCTGCGCCCAAGTGCTGCACGATGAACTGAACGGTGCTGTCTCTCCTCTTCACGAAGGAATGTCCGCCAGTGGAATCTTTCTCAATCGTGCCACACAAGTGTCGCACCTGACTGAGCATACGCTCCAAACCTTCCTTCAGCACCTCAACGACATTGTAATTGTTGATGTCATCCAACCGGAAGAACAGGGCATAACTGCAGTAGATTCTGGCCCACATGTAATCGAGAGTCGAAAATTTGAATCTCTCCTCCTCGTCGTCGTTTTCCCAGCCGGTTGGATGAATATGGTAGATTTCCTGTCGAGGCATGCTTGCAGTAGATGTTGGAACAGCGGATGGAAATATTCAAGCGGGATGGGAGTGATTTAATAGAAGACTGAAGAATGCCACTCAAGGCTTGGCTGTGATCCTTGGAACAGAGTCCATCCCGGATGCCAATTGTCATCAGCTGCAGTAATACGACCGAACATAATTGCTAGAAATTGAAGCCAGAAGAGTCCCCGAGGGGAACAGACAGGGCAAGAGAAAGTAGAAGCAGAGAAGCTCGAATACCTGGGTCAGTCTTGGATGGATCCTGCGGGAGGTTAAATTCGAAATACGAAAGAGCCTGTGTTGTGAACCAGCAAAAAGTGTGATTTGGTAATAGTCTTGATCTTACTCAAGAAGAAAGAACTATACAGACGCTTTACTTATTTTGCATAAGCAACAGATGGTCGCTGCTCAAATAACAAGGACAAGCTGGAAAGAATCTGGCTCCTTGGACGGGTAGTAGCGTATGCCGAGGAACCGCCCTTCCACAATATCCATAATCATTTCCCCTGAAGCCATACCTTACTAAAACGCCTTTGAAAGTAATACAACCTTCATGTCATCTGAAATGACCGAGTCCGCAAAGTCGTTATCTATTCACATGGGAAGCATGTACCTATACCAATTGAAAGTGAAACCAAGCTTCTCAGGCTCGTCTGAAGAAAGCACCTGCAGAAGTCCACGCTCCTCTAAGTCCTTGCAGAGTGCCTTTTTCGAAAAAAAAAACTCTTGCTGCGAGCGGCTTTGGTCGACCTCACCAGGGGTGTCGCTATAGTTTTGCCCGGCGGTTGATGCTTTGGCGCGGATGCTCTGCATGATGGATCTCCACCACACCCCGAGACTATGGAGACTGCCATGAAATAGGCGACTCGTCATCATGCACCATCGATGGATGAACGATGTGTGGATGACGGTTGTATTTTTTCCATTTTCTTTTTTATCTCCGTTTATTTCCATCACATCTATCTCGTCGCCCAACAGCGTTTTCGTATGCGTCGCTAGCTCTCTGACTGTGCCATATTTGTTATGCCAACATCTATCAATAATATCGTCAATCATGTAATAGCCATTCAATTCCGGAAACTTTATGCTCTGCAGTAAGTCCACTACCTTGGGACCGTGACCGTAAGGATCTTCCGTAAGATAGCGGTCTCCATAAACCTCATAACCGTAGTTTATCAAGTAGTACAAGGATCCGAGGGCGAACTGTTCTGTGCGAGGACCGAGAAAGCCGGAAGTTCCACACTCCCCATTGTCTGACTCATTGCCGTTGAGTAACCTGCCGTAGGGAGCCATGCAAGCTTCGTAGATTGTTCCAATTTCCGCCGTACAATCAAAGTCAGACAGCTTGAGTCGGTTGCGATCAAGAAGAATACTTTCAGGGCGTAGATCACCGTGGGCAAGACCATGGGACTCTAAAAACGCAACGGCTTGAGCGAGATCGTTCATCCATTCTTTTCGTAGGGACAGAGGCTCTAATTTATCCACTGTAGTGACTACCATAGTCTGCTGGTCGCGGGTGTGATTGTTTTGTATCCTAGACGAAAGCGATACATCTGAAATAGATTAGTGGATAAATTGACCGCAAGAAAAGAATCAAACCTCGCATATACTCCAGGAAGATGCCACTATCCGAGAACAGAAAACACTGTACAATTTTGGGGCAAGGTGGGCTTTGCGAGAACAGTCGATAGATCTCGAGTCCTTTCTGGAACTGTTGACTCTCGAATTCTCCGGATTTCGGGACTTTGACAACGATCAAAGGATGAACCTCATAAACCAACGAGGGGGGGGGGGGGGGGGGGGGGGGGGGGGGGGGGGGGGGGGGGGGGGGGGGGGGGGGGGGGGGGGGGGG